TAGGAAGACTTGAGCCAAGTATCAATTAACTTGAAATATCAAGTTCGGGCCTTGCAGATAAATGGTAGATCAGATACAGTATTGTCTGTGTCAACTGTCATAGTACAAATGTTGTTACATAGTAAGTAAACATGGTGATCTACGGATACGTCTCAAATATCGTACAGGAAGCTTGAGTGCGCTTGCGCATGGTGGGAACGCTATTGTATTGTTCTGAGCGTGTGGAACCCATCACTTCCTCTGATGGCCGCAATAGCAATCGATGAATATGAGATGTAATTGATTAATTACGCTGTAAGAAAGTCACATTTATTATAATGCTATCATCACTTGTCACAGAAACGAAAAACTATGTAGAGACTGCGTTTAAAGAGCTTGATTGTCTCTGCTATCCCAAAGATATCTTTTAATACAAATACTAGCAGTGCCCGCGACTTCGTCCGTGTGAAATAGTGACTTTTGGCAGCTTCTTTCATTTTTAGGGTTCCCTACCCAAAGAGTAAAACGACAATCCTTTTACTAAGACTTCGCAGTCTGACTGTCCGTCATCAGGCTGTATCACATAAATCTTGAAAATTAGACAGTTGAATTTTAATAGAATAAAATAAATATTTAAGGGTTCTCTCATACACAAAAGTGATTATTGGCTATTACCACCATACTGCTGCATTTCACGAACCGTGATGGCTAGACAGTTGAGATTTTCACAGAAGACGTAGTTGTTGCCGATATAATAACAAATACTAAAAAAAAACAGAATAAAACAAATATTTAAGGGGGCTCCCATACAACAAACCTGATTTTTTGTTCGTTTTCGATGCGGGACCCTTCGTGCACGAGTTGACTCGCTCTTGGCCGGTTTTTTAGGCTAATTATTTTTCAAATAAAACACATTCATTCATCAAAAAAGTTATTTACAATATTCCAAACTATTTAAGCACAAAAAATAAATTAATGTTCAACTACTTTAGTAGACTTAAAGAATCAATAACTCTGTAGTTTTTACAATTATTTTACTTTTGACTTATGAACGTGAGCAAAGAAAAATATTAGTTTGGAAATTATAATATTTTTTTATACATAAACCAAATATTATTAAAATGTCTCCAATTAAAATGTTCCAGTTCAATTTTATTTCAAAACTTATTTACTGAATATAAACATTTATCAACTAACCATGTTTTCAAACGTGATTTATATAATTTTTGCGGCAATAATTTGAGTTTATCCGGTATATTATTATTTAATATCTTTATTGCCATCATACAAGAGTTTCTTTTAAAATAGTCGGTTCCAATCATTTATTAGTTATTTAATTGGAAAAGTTATTTATTTGGAAATCTTGTCTTAAAATAACATTTTTTTCCTACAGTTCTAAGTTATACAAACAAACACAAGTTTTAAAAATACAGTATCGTCATTTAGCGAGTTGTATTTTATTATTTTGCCAGATTCACAATTTCCCATTAAATTATTGGAAATACCATAAAATTTTAAACGAAAACTGCTTCGTTAGAGAAAATCGAAAAAAGTAAAGTCGACAAAAATAATAAAAAACAAAACCTCGTTTTAAAAGTACAGTAGCGTCATCTTTGTTCAGTAGAGATAGCCAAATGTAACATTTTATTTTTTCGCGCTATTAATAATACACCAATTAATTATGTTATTGGAAAAACTGCAAAATTGAAAACGAAAGCTACTTTATTTAATAAAAATCGGAAATAATATTGACTACAAACATAACAAAAAACAAAATCTCGGTTTTAAAAGTTTGTAGTGTCATCTAATGCTCAGTAGAGGCAGCGGAATGTAACATTTTTGTGTATTTTATATATTTTAATATTTATATACCTTTTATGTACCTTTTATGCGAGAATTAACTGCGATAACACAATTTTTACACTTTATAGAGACAGGGTTTGTTTGTATGGTATGGGTTTAGACAAAACACTGAAACTTGACGCCCTAGACAAAAACACTGGAACTTAGTATCCTAGGCAAAACTCCGGAACTTGGCGCTCTAGACATATAAAAGGAACTTGGCGCCCTAGGCAAAACCCGGAAATTGGTGCCCTAGGCCTAAAATTGGAACTTGGCGCCCAAGGAAAAACCCGGAAATTGGCGCCCTAGGTCTAAAACTGGAACTTTGCGCTCTAGGCATAACATTGGAATTTGGTGACCTAGGAAAAACATTGGAACGACGCCCATACAAAATAAAAGACTAATGAACATCGATTAAAAATTATAAAATTTTGAATACTGCGGACATGGACTCTTGTTTAAATAACAAAGGTATTTTTAAGGTATTGCAGTTTTAAGGTTCAAATAATTAGAGGAAACGTAATCTGTTAACGTTTGGGAAACGCCATAGCATAGCTGTTCCCAGATACGAGCGCCCTAGGCAGTTGTCTAGTTTGCCTATATGGACGGGCCGGCTCTGAAGCTGCTGGACCGATTTTAAAACTTCTTTTTTATGTCCTGTCACAGGAATTGGCTAATACAGCCAATGCAAGGTAAACTAAATATGTTCGCACCATTACAATTTCTTTTACACATCAGTAATTACTATTTATTTTAGTTTATTAGTAGGTATAAGTAAATATATATATTTATATAAAGATTTTCATTTAGTATATACCATAATTTATGTATATATATCTATAACGCCAAGCTTTTGTACAGGCTCTGCCAGAATAACCAGCGCCGTATCAGGGTAAGCTACTCTGATATGGCTTATGCTGAGGCAGAGTCCTGATTGACCACCACCTTTGTAATAAGTTAAACCATTGTTATGTACCTATGTGGTCAATCAATATATTTTCTTTCTTTCATTCTTTCTTCTTATTTTATACGTCGATGTCGCGGGAAAACACTTAGTTTTTTTTTATATAAAACGAAACTCTTAAAGCCTCTTTTTTCTGTTCTGTGACTAATACTATTTCGATAATATTTTTAAGCAATAAAAAATAATAAAGTCGGCTCTGTAAAAAGTTTGCAATGTTAAATTCAATATTTGATTTTTGTCTAATTTTGTTGTTTTTAATAATAATAATAAAGTATTTATTTTGCCAACCCACAACACAACCCAGTATAAAACAAACAAGACAATTAACAATTACAAAACAATACAAGAATTTAAAGTGTAATGTTGTGTACTGTCAAAACTGACCTCAGCTCAGCGTAAGCTATGGGTACACCCATTGCACTGGTATTCTGCTGAGGTCAGTGGCGACAACACGGACCTACAATGTTCGACATAAAAGTATTTAAATAACAATAACAAATAGAACGATTTCTTGTTCTTTTCATGTCTTAGGATAGTACATGGAATATAATTGTGTTGGGCTGGTATCGGATCAGTGACTTTTTACTATTCAGGCGAGTGCCCTTCCTTATAATGCACAATTCATTAAAAATAAAACGGAATGTCATAGACGTGTAAATAAAATACTCGGGTTATCCTTCTGAATTGAAATATTTGTCTTTTATTAAGTATACGCTTTTATTCTAATCTAGTGGCTAGCGCGATCGATCTGCGACACGGTTGTGTTTTTTTGTTTTTTGCAAACCAAAAATTTATTGTATCGAACTCCTCCGTGCTTCGGAAGGTACACTAACTCGTTGATCCTAGCTGCATCTGCAGTCATTTATATCCACCAATTCACACAAGGCTCGCATGGCGCGTCATTGGCCCATTCTTTTGACACCAATAGAGTAGTGATAATGCTAATCTAGAAACATATTGGTATTAATTTTATGGTGCGCAAATGCAACAGACTGGAACCATTGGAAGCAAAGAACAATTATAAAAATTGATACAGTGTTTTTGACCTTGTGCCTTTTAATTTGAAAATATGAGAAAAACACTGCTTAGGTCTAGTTGAATTGCTTAACAATTAAATACATAAGATTTTTTAAATACTTAATAATAATTTTGAGGTTTTTTTAATCGAAGTATAAAGATTGTTGTAAATAATCATATAATTAATGTATTATATTTCTAGTATTTTTTGTCTTTAATCGTAATCTTATACATAAACCATAGTAATTAAAGAATTGAATTAAAATAAACATTGAAGTTAATATGGTCTTGTTTTTCTGAGCTTGTTTATGCCTTTTATCTTTGTGTTAATTTAATTTTTAAATAAGGTTCAATACTCCAAATACGGGGACTTTAGCTACTTTAGATCTCGGAATCTTAACAATGTATGCGAGTTGTCTAATTTTTATTTATTATTATTTACAGAAGCTTTGTCTTTTGCAGCCTTTCCAGTTCATGTTACTCACTCATAAACTCAAGTAAACTCATGTTTCTACAAAACTATGGAATTTTCATAATCAATCGATTTTCAAGACTTTTGACAATTACTTTTTTGCTATAGAAACTGATATAACACGTGGATACACATAAATTTATACTGCATTATGAAAGTGATACATGATACACTGTAGGAACAACATTTCTGGTAATGAGCGACATCTAGTTCGGCGTGCCAATTTTATGATACTGAAAGTCGCTGACATGAAAATCGCCGAAAATCTAAACTTATGCGTGTTTTTTTTATTTTACTTTAACTTTTCATTAAGAAATCGTTAAAAAAACCAACTCATTACTAAATTTTAAGTCACAATAATCTCCATATATTATTTGGCAGAACAAAGCATTGTGATCCGTTCAGCTGTTAATTAATTTTTTTTTCTAAAATTTTATCTGATAATATTTCTCTGACTCCAAAAGAGAGAGGTGGATGAGACCTATTTAAAAGTTACAAGAGGCAGAATAATGCTAATTGTATCATTAAGTAGTTTTTATAGGCTTCGCTGGTGAGGATCAACAGTGATAACGAGGTATATCATTAGGCCGACGTGAGTGGAGGGTAGCAGTAGGGCACGCCACGCATGTGGCCGGGGCCGTCGTCGCATCTGGTGACGAGGGGGGTGCGGAGGGGGCTAAAATTAGTATCGGGCCGCCACGTGCGCTGGCTGCCACCAAGCCGTTTCAGTCCGCGCGCAACCATCACGACGATCACTCGCTCCGACCGCTCTCCAGTGTTTACAAGCACATAACCTACGCACCGGTACACCGGACTGACAGCCAGTGACAGTGTTTGGAGTGTTAGCCGGCGCGACGGAGGCGGTGCAAGGAATGTTGATGGCGGGCGCTTTGCCGGCCGAGCCTGAGGGTCTCTTGGCCCTCAGTGCACTCCCGGGACAAAAGGACACCACCTGGACGAAGCTGTTCGTCGGCGGACTACCCTATCACACGACGGATAAGAGCCTGAGGGAACACTTCGCCGTGTTCGGTGACATAGAGGAAGCGGTCGTCATAACAGACAGGCAGACTAGTAAAAGCAGGGGATATGGCTTCGTGAGTAATACATTTTTTTATGTTTTCAATTTCATCGCGTCTGAAACCTTGGCGTTGTACAAATTATAATGCCGGTGCGCAGGCGACTCGTGTCGGCTATGAAAGGCAGCCGTATCGCACGCTGGGCGCGTTATCGCACCTCATTGCTACCGGCAACATACCTACTGCCGCGACTAGGTGCGTTTGTACAGGCTGTATCGCGAAATTACATCAAACAAGGAAGTCAAACCACTTATGTAGGTGCACACTTTAATCACAAGCCAAACCATGGAACCATAACAAACAATACTTCAATGATAACGCTCATACTTCAGTGGATAGCTCAAACGAGTTTTAAGTTTCGGTCATTACTTATATTAACATCTTTTAACATGACTTTATAAATATATCAACTGCTATTATATCCATGATGATGATCGGTCATTCGTATAGGTAATTCATTCAAATGGATGCACAATATAGACAACATTCTGAAAGTTGGATGCTTATTAAATGAAAAATGCACAGATACATTAATCGCACTCGTTTCAAAATTATTTCGTGAGTCTCTTAGTGTAATAAAGTTTGAGGCTTTTTGTATCGTATGACTGGGGCTCGTGGGAAATGAATCACAACCCCATTTTCAATTCACGCTGGGGTCGGGTGGTAGGGGAGGCAGTGTGTTCCTGCACCCTCTGTGACATCCAAATAGCTGTAATAATCGCAATGCGCTTCGTAACACTTTGTGACGATGCGTTCGTAGTTTGTTAATCTTTTAAATTCACTAGACAGAAAAATTAAATAAAATGTTAGTAGCTAAAAGGAAAAACAAATGAAGTCAATCACTGGATAGATAGATCTTTAAACTTACTCTGCGTTTACATTGTTTTGTAAAATGATTGCGTTTTCGTCTGCGATTTAATTGAGGGAATCCTTAGCCGTCCTTAAGCAGAGTTTATACAAACGTACAAATTTTTGAGCTTCTTCATTAACTAGTTTTTCATACCCCTAATTAGGATCTTTGGGGGTTGAATTCTTAGCGAAACTCTCCGCTATAACAACGTTTTGTATGTACACGTCAAATCTTAGTTCGATCCATTCCGTAGTTTGAGCTGTGAATTGAAATAATAGACTAGCTGTTTTCCTGCGACTTCGCCAGCGTAAATCACAGCCTAAGTCACCGGTGTATGATGTAGCTTTCCGTTTGTGAAGGAATTTTCATGATCGTATCAGTATTTCCAAAGATTACGACAAACAAACAAATCAAGTTAGAAACTTTTACTCTTCATAATATTAGTATAGAGATATACATAGTAAAACACATGCAACTAACTGTTACAGTCATAAAATTGTACATACATTTTGAAATCTATAATTCAATCTAATCAAAACAATTCACAAGGCCACTTATATATCGCACATTGATTTTTACAAAAACGGTTATTCTACATCAGTGTTAAGATTGACATTTTATTATTCATGTAGTTTTGTAAGGTCGCAAACGTTGGTGTACCTTGTAATACGTGATGAAGTACCAGCTCAACACAAAAGACAGACATCCGATATACTGCGGGCTGTATTTCTCTTGAGCAATTCTGAACTCTATTCTATTCAGTTAAGTAACAAAGAAAACCTGTTGTCTTATGATGACCTTACATTAAATTACATATGTCACAAAGATCATATATATGCGAAAAGTGGAAATAAAATTAAGACCTTTTGGTTACAAATGACCTGAATTTATGTAATTTAAAGTCATTTTATTTGGAATAATGTTTCTGTAATTTGTAATTTAATATGGATCAATGGGTCTGAAATAAAGATTTATTATTATTTTTATTATAAATGATAATGTTCACAAAATTAAATTGCAAAATAACTTATTGTATGCTACTGAAGCGCAAGTCAAAATAGAGTACTCTCAAAGTCAAAAATCATTTGTTATATTGAGTTTAAACAGAACGTAACATGTAGCCGAGTCACGAAATTAAATTTGCTACCTGACATTACTGTGAAACAAAGAGTACTATACATACCGTCTAGTATGTATATAATTCTCTCAATCCGGATTCCTTTTATTGTTATTAAAACGTCATTGTCTTCGTGAATTTAGGTAATTCATTATATCACAATGATACTTATCATACCAGTTAACTAAAAAGCTAGGAACATCTGAGATATGTTTCTTATATATCTATCTACATAATTTTGGTTTAAAGAAGATAATTCCAAATTCAAATTAGGAAAATGTTCGATTTTCATTTGTCATTCAAATTAAGAAATTCTATACATTTAAAAAAAAAATGCAACCTAGTGCAGTTTTTCTGAGAGTAGCACAAATTTGGTTTAAAGGTTTTTAGTCCGGAAATTTTGACTTCAAAAATGCACGTCGCTCCGGTCGCCCTGTTATGGATAAAATAGATGCCATTTTTGAAAAAGAGGGGCAAGATTGGCATATCTATAGTTATGGTGTAGCTTAAGAACTGGGGATTGACCACAAAACAGTATTGGCGCATTTTAAAAAAGTTGGAGTTTTGGGTACCTCACGAGCACACTGAAAGAAATCTAATAAACCGTGTACTTATTTGTGATCCTTTATTACGATGTAATGAAACCGAACCATTTTTAAAGAAACTGATAATTGATTATGAAAAGTGAATCACGTACGACAAGAACGTGCGAAAAAGGTCGTGGTCAAAGGTCGGTCAGGATTCACAGACTGTGGCGAATCCCAGGTTAACTCGCAACATGGTGATGCTGTGCGTGTGGTAGGATTGGAAGGGCATTATTTGTTATGAGCTGTTACCACCAGGACCATCGATTCCGAACTCTACTGTGGACAACTGATGAGATTAAAGAAGAAGATGAGAGAAAGCAGCCAGAATTAATCAATAGAAGGGGTGTGGTTTTTCATTGTGTTAACGCTAGACTCACACATATTTTGCCACTCAGCAAAATTTAAAAGAGTTTGGCTGGGAGGTGTTAATGCATCAGCCTTATAGTCCTAATCTTGCACCTTCAGATGTCCACCTGTTTCGATCTCCTCAGAATTGTTTAAACAGTGTCAGGTTAACATCACGCGAGGTTTGTTAAAATCACTTGTCGTGATTTTTAATCAGAAGCCCCAAAATTTCTATTACAATGGTATTATGTCCCTACAAGATAGTAAAAAGTCATCGAAAAAAATGGTACCTATATGCTTTAGTTCAAGTAAAAGTAAATGTTTGAATTTGTCTATAAAATGCGAAGAAACTTTTCATAATTTTTTTTAAGAATTTCAGAATATTACAATTCACAGTTAGCAGGAAAAATTGTAGTATCTTATCTGTCATAATCAGCGCGATAGTTAATAAATAAAATGTGAATTATTATTATGGCACGATTTATGGCGATATGACACGACTACCGTAATCAGGGCAAAGAAATGTGGTGCATCAATTAATAATACACTGATTAAACCTGAATTAACGTCGCGAAGTCATCGTGACACGTCGTAAATACGATATTTCTTTATAAAATATTTCTTTTCGAATATGCAATTCTCCCGACTGATGGGTTATGGGTGATGTTTGAAAATAATTCAAAATTTTCTTTATCGTTGCAACTAATAGAGATATTGTAAAATGTTCGCAACTATACATAAGAGTGTATATAAGCCATTGATAATAGTTATGTGCTGTGACACGTAACTTATCTACTGCACGAATTTACTCACTTCAAGTTGTGTATATGCCAAATAAAAAGGTTATATTAAAAAATATATTCGATTGATTTGTAATCGCGATGCTACAATGATATGTAGTGCTGAATATTAATAATCATAATGTGAAAGAATGTAAAAACATTACTAAAAAAAAATAGTAAATTAGTATATCACTATAAATTTATTTGAGTGCGTTTTAAATCATGTAATGTTAAAAAATAATATATAGATATCAAGAATTACCTTTAAAGAATAGGCATGTCGATAAACTATTCTCAGTATAGTATTAATGGAATAAAAACTTTTATGTAAACTATTGTTAATTTGGATATGTAATGACGCAAAAATACGTGGCACTATGGACAAACCTTAGTGGTTTTTATAGTGGCATTTAAACAATAACATTGTATATGATTGTTTGTATTGCTAAATAAATAAATAAAAAAAAGTGCGCAGATCAGACATATACCAATGCCGCTGATGATCGAATGTATAATAAAATTATCAGGCTTGTTTTAATAACCGTAAGCTTTAAAACACAATGTATTAGAATTCTGTCTCAGAATACACGGGGGTCTTGCGCGCGGTTCGTCTGATAGCGCGCTACTTGTATCATTTTGATTCGTTAGAAGTTACCCCGCTTCGGATTCTACGTGATGTTAGAATACATATGAAACAAAATTCCCACTGTCTCTTTCTGTTGAAACACTAATGAATTGGTTTCCTTGCAATTTTCACCAATAGATGAAATGTGAAAGGTGAAAATATCATTGTTACTGGGAAGATTTTGGATACAAGTCGTAAATTGTAAAAGAAACAAAACACACTCGAAGTTTTAAAAGAAAATTGACGAAACAAAAAAGAGCAAGAAACATTCTAGTCACTTTTTGTGACGTAGAGAAATCGGTGCACTATTTCAACTGTATGGTAACTTTTACAAAAATAATTAGATTCAAGCTTTAATGTGTTATTTTGTGACAATTATAACTATTTAACCTCCATAGAATTTGCCCTACAGATGTAGGGCAAATAAAAGTAAGTAATTTGATTTGTTTAAACCTCTATGGTTGCTATTAAAACGGGATATAGATTCATTTTTGGTTTTAGAATTCTAATTCAAAATTATTTATTGACTAAATTTATTTTCGTGGAGCCTAAGATTTCCAAAGTTCTCAAATGCTAACAAAAACCAATTTTAGTCAAAAAAAATCTCAATAACAACTGTCATAATATGTTATGCTTTACTGCCTTTTGCTGAAATATGGGTTTATACAAACAAAAAACATAAATTAAATACTAACGCTTGAGCTTTAAATTTCCTTGAGAGTTACTCTATTGAATGCTTAATGATTGATAATACGTTAAAATATCTGAGCATGTTCTTTAAAACAATAATCAGTATTAGAAAAAATGTTAGGAACAGCTTTAATTATATCATAACAGTTTTAGAAATAGGCTTACAAGAAAGATAATGTAAAATGCAACATATTATACACACTGTTTTTGGCTATTGGCTCCTTTGTGGCCATTTGGGGCTTAAAGGCGTTTTAACTTATAAGGTAATATATTACTTTATCATACACTGCCTTTAAAATGGTGAATTATGGCAAAGATTATACCGTCGCCAGGTATGATGTACCAAAGTTCACTACTTCCGACTATTAAAATTGCCAAAATAGGGTCAGCTGCCCTACGACGTCGAAAACAAAGTTTTCTTACTTTTAAAAGTGTCATATATATTAGGATGTTAATCTGTAGATACTCGTATTTGTAGTCAGATTCAGTAACAAATTTTTTCCAAGTATATTCGGTGTTAGGATTTCTTTTAGAAGGAAATTATCTAATCAAATTTCCTTGCTATGAGCCCGCCTACAAAATCATGTTAAACTAGGTAAGCTGTGAATGTGTTTTGTAATAATAAATATACATAGGGATTAATTGTTGGGACTAATAAATGAGGCGTGGCTCTCAATTTGACTGGGCGGGTCGTGTTTGGGCACGCCTCCAAGATGCTACGAGACGCTACGGCGTAGATCTCACAGGAAATCTTACTTTGTAATGTCAGTTTATAATTATTTTAAACTTTGTGATTTTTTTTATTATTTAAGACGTTGTCTATGTTTAAATGTTTCTTAAAACATATAATCGTATATGTTAAAATATCTCGCATGATAATGAAAATTCGGTCACGAAGTACTTTGACATAATTGCAAAGAAAATATACTTTTGATTTTTAGCTTTGAAATTGAAATTATTACACAGAAATAATAAATAAATTATTAATACTTTATTATACACCAAAATTAATATAATAAACCATAGGCTTCAGTATATTAAAAAAAAGGAATTTTGATTGCAGTAGTCGGGAAGAAGCTTTTTTTATCAAACATGTGGTATTCCACTTTTGTCATACAAAACTAAAAATGTTGACGCCCGATAAAAGTGTGTTTCCTGATAATTATGCAAACAGTCGATAATCTTCTACTAAATACAGGAAATTGCGTTACTTCAAATGACAACAATGCCGGTATTTTAATGTATTCTCATTTTATACTCTGAGTACACGTCTATTTTATTTTTAAACTATTTGTTTGTTCTCATTTTTTTTGGTAATTAATTTAATTACACTGTTTTTTAAAAATTCGATTGTTTGTAAATGTCGCTCTTTCTGTTAGAGCTGGGGGCCAATTCTACTAAATAAATTTTGTTTACATCGAATCGAAAACGGATCAAAACCGAACGAAACTTAGTCGAATAGAAAAACCGTTAAAAACTGTAGTTTCGTTCGGTTTCGATCCGTTTTCGATTCGATTTAAACAAAATTTATTTAGTGGAATTGGTCCCCAGATGAATTTTTTTCGTTGGCTCTTCTGTCAACCAAAAAACGTCTTAAACGGGTGGTAGGTGAAAAAATATTGAGCCATTCACAAGTATAGACTTTGACTTGACATTTAACCCTAGTGATATTGGCTGTAATTAATGCACAAAGTCGGGGAAGAACATTTAGTTTGGTATAAAAAAGTATCTAAGTAGTGGAAGTTTGGTAATCTGTATGGCAGGTGAAATTCTATGATAGACACCAGTTTCGGAAAATTTGAAGTGGCCATCCTTTAATGCATTGTGTAATGAAAGTTAAGATTTGTATTAATATTGTATGACTAAAGAAATCTATAATAAAAAGTAGAGTTTGTCATTTGACCTGTTTTGCTTTTTGTGCCAGGACTTCTTAGAATAGCTGACACAGTTTGTTTTGGCCAACGTTATTCATTACCATAAAACACTGAGACATTATTTCGTAATTATGATCTTGTAAACCTTTTTCGCTTAAAATTCTGATATCACTATGGAACTGGCATTTTATAAACCTTACTAAAAATAAAGATAAAAAATAAAATATCTCATTTAAAATCTGTTATCATTCAAAATTATTTTTGGATATTACTGTTATATAAAATTATTTTTTTACTTATCATATCAGTACAGTACAGTACTGATTTGATAAGTATCAAATAACCTTTTGTTAATTCCATACAGAATGGATGAAAAAAAAGAATTCTATTTAATCCGTCAGTCAGATAATAGAAAACTATTACATTTGAATTTTTTTACTTCAATTTAACAAGAAATAGCTGAGATAACAGGTGTTAAAGTCGAGGAGTGGGGGCTCGTTATGTCACAGTTCAGTTCTATAGAAAATGTACCAAAACGTGACGTCATTTGACATTTTAACTCAATGTATCGCCGTTATTTAATGATTACGAAAAAGAAATAAAAATAAGTGTTCAATATTTTTCAAAAATCTACATAAATTTTTACAAACAAACAAGAATTTGTCGTCATCGATAGGTATAGCTCGGTGGCGTAGTGGATAAGCGCCGCGGCCCGCGATCGTTGTCATTAAGTAACTTTCGCAAGGGTCGGTCACGGGATGGGTGACCAAAAAATTATTATCTCTAGCTTACTTCGTGCTTCGGAAGGCACGTTAAGTCGTTGGCCCCGGCTGCATTTGCAGTCTTTAATACTCTCCAAACCCCAATGAGCTAGCGTGGAGGGTCATGGTCCATCCTCCTGAACCGTCCATAAGGAAGGCCTGCGCCCCTGCAGTGGGGACGTAAAAGGGCTGGTGATGATAGGTTTATAAGTTTGATGTACAATTTTCAACACATTTATTATTTTTTAATGAAACTAAAAGACCGATGATGGTGAAATGTCACGTTTACTTTGTGTGTCGTACTTTGCAGATTACCATATCTTCTGTAGGTATTAGTGGTTCGATAGCGCAGTGGCTAACGCGCTCGATCTGCGATACGATTGTTAAGCAACTTTTGCCATGGCCGGTCATAGGATGGGTGACCAAATTTTATCTTAAACGCCTGAACGCTTCGAAAGGCACGTTAAACCGTTGGTCCCAGCTGCATCTTCAAACGTTAATACCCACCAATCAGCACTGAGCACGTTTGGTGGGTCATCGGTCATTTCCATTCATAGGGAATTCGATTCCATCCAAAGGTAAGGTCTGATCCCCAGCAGTGGGGACATTAACAGACTGGTGATGATGATGATCATGCTGATGATTATTAATAATACCTTAAAATGTATTAAAAAGTGAGGCTTAGTCAAAAAAAAACCGTTTTTCGAACAAACACTAAGAAATTTTTACCGTTTTGATATGGGTAGGTTAATTACTTAGTAATTGGTTTGCTTTTTTAAGATTTAGGTTATCACGGAACGGAAATTTATCATTACTGAGCCTACAAAAACAATATTCGTTGCGTATGACAGTCGTGTAGATGCTTACGATACATACAAAAGAATAAATATTATACAATGATATATGATTACATACATTAGGGTTTAAGTTCATAATTATTAGGAATTTTACTGAGTATATAGACAAATAAAACTAATCAAATTTGCCTTCAGAAAGTCAAAATATCGTGTGCGCGTGTATAAGAATACTTGAACCTAATTTGTTAATTCTTATTCTTAAAATAAAACAAATATGTTACATAAATTTTCCAATAAAAACTATTTGGCGGAGTTCACCTTATTTCAACGTTTTCACTTTCAATAAAAAAGTATAAAAATGGTTTTCAACTATAAGACGATACAATGCAAAAATGTCTTCCTTATAAGTATTTCATTTAACCTTTTAAAAAAAACAAAAAATAAATTAAGGCAGGATATTTTTTTTATATGTACTATGAATTTTTTGCTAACCGGCGACTATGCAGGTTTTACTGTTATACTAGATTAACGTCACGCACCGTGTCTAACTACAATTTCTATGCTTTATTAAACACGTTAGATTCGTGATAGCCTTAATAAAATACAGAGCCTAGTATTTGAATACAACCTTGATCAAATAGACTGTGTGTAAAAGTTTCTTTTGCTGATCGTTAGAGAAGCCCCTTGAGTTTTTACGAGCAATATACAGCTACAGTTAAAAAAATATTGTAAAATGTCTTATCTTTTAGTGGCTTCGTTTGCTTGCACGTTGATATATTGATTAAAAAATTCAGTCTCCTCTACATTTTAAATTTCTGTGTCAGATTTTCTCATATTGACAGAAATTTAACCGTAAGCATATAATTGGAAAGTTAATAGCGTATTTGTAATGTGTCTATGGATAAAATAAGTAAAAACTTTTACAGAAGCATTCCTCTTTACTTCCTTTATTACAATTTCAAAAAGGTTGATTTAAATATGTTCCATTGAACATTTCTTTTATTGAACTGAACCTAATATGTTATTTAAATGTTAACATTGTAACCTTTATAAAAAATCAATAGAATACAAATTTATTCGTCTAGAGTTAAAAAAAGCCCTGATCTTTTGCGATCCCATGTAGAATAGAGCAAAAACTCTTATATTTGAATTTTTAATGACGCTCAGACCTTCAGTACCTATCTGGAGGTCATCAGACCGCTTGCTTCAGTTCTGTAGGTTCATTCTGCGCTTACCTACTTATAGTGACCGAATTATAATGATCCGCGAACGTAAGTGGTCTGTCCCCTCGGTCACCCGAATTCGTTATTCGAAAGAGGATTGCGGCAGGCCTTTATAAAATGGTATCCCGTGTTGTGGAAACGGCGAGGTGCCGACCCATGGATCACGCATTCATTACAATAGGTAATGCCGATCCTACGTCACAATGTTTTGTTGTTTTTTATTGAAGCGGGCGTATTGTGCAGTGAAAGAAACTATTTTTCGTTTTAAACATTGTTTTATATGCTCAAATTAAAGTAAGATTTCAGTATACATTTTTCATCCAATTTTATTTTGATTTTAAATTTCACAGAGTTAACGAAATTAGAAACTTGCCTGTGTACTTAATTATACAAAAGCATCTTACACACATGTACATAGAGTAAATAAGAAACTACCAAAGCGAAAAACATCGGGTCCCTTGAACTTTCTCTTATGTTCAAGGTATCCAAGTTTATTCTCATATCATTATTATATTACACATATTGATAAGAGAGAGAGTATAAGGGACCCGATTGTTTTCGTTTATAGTTTTATCATTAAGTGGTCTCTCTGTGCATATGCACAAAATGTTTTTCATTACTAACCACACTAATACAATTTGGACAGGCTCTACCATGAGCTCTACAGTGGTTCTTTTAAAAATACGGCTTAACCATAGACTAAATAGTATATCTATGAGCTTAACAACAAAACCCTTATTACATTTAGAAGTAGGTTTTGTTTGATCGAATCTCTAACGCTGAATTTTGAGAAAATATTGCTAAGTAAGATAGTAGATCGGTTATTAGCGATAAGTCCGCCGATTGTACTATACTTTGTTTATGATTGTAATATTTATGTAATTTGTTTAATGGTGTTTGTAAAACAAACAATAATTCATTTATTCAAAGAGAATGAATGACAGACAAAACGGTTATGTGAAAATACAAACTGCTCAGCTTAGATAGCGTGCATATGTTTTGCATTATTTCTTTGCAGGTTTTCACCAATTTCTTCCAAAATTATAATAAAGCGGACGAAATATTAAATTTGACGTAAATTATTAATCCTTGGTGTGTGGCGGGTATTGCGTTCAGTACCGTGTTTCGCGAGACATGTACTGATTTCTATTATCTACGCATATGTATTAGGAATTTTAAAAATATTAAGATTATTATATTTGTTTAATTTTGCATTCACAATGCTATACTGGAAAAAAATCCTAATAAAAAATGCTTAATAAATCCTGCCTTAGGTACTATGAGATAGGACTCTAAGATAATGAGAAAATATTAAGATATTCATTTGAATAATATTATTTGGTTATTATTTATATGTCTTGTGAAAACAAGTGAATATATATTTGTTACGTAATAATTTGCTACGTTTTCGACTACTAGATGATGAGACAATAGCTCCTAATCGTAATTATTCTAAAAACTCTAGGAGTTTTTAATAAAATCACACCCACCGATTTACCTTCTTGCGATTCTCACCTGTACTATAAAAGAAGCATGGTACAAAATTTTTATTTCTGATCCAAGTACCTACTTAGAAGACTTTTTATTGTCTCTTTATTCTACCTTTGGATTTCTTCAAGTAACTACTAAGTTTGAATAACAAACCTTATGTACTATCGATAACTTCAATATAATACGTTGTATTTTTGATACGGTGTTGAGTTTTTAAGGAGTGAAACTATGTATTACGATTTTGATAAGAAACGAAGTAGCTTTTCTCGGAAAAGATAAACTATATGTGCGATCTTAAAACTGTACAGAAGATTTAGATGGCGGTATATTTGGTGGGCAAGGTCTATGATCGCTAAGGTGAAGCAAATTTACAAAGAACAGTTATAAAAAATATTAATGTTGCACCCCTGATAGTGGCGTCCGGGGCTCACTGGTCCGGGCTAACCTACTTGTCTTCCTCCCAGGGGGCTCTCTGCTTGCCCTAGGAACATAATATAGCTTCCTCTCACAAGCGGTGGGCAACATTAATAGGCTAATGATTCATGACGATAGTTTTATGAAGATGTAAATAGTTTTTACATTATATTTATGTGTTTTTTTGCAGGTAATAATGTCGGACAGAGCTGCGGCCGAGCGCGCGTGTAAAGATCCCAACCCCATCATAGATGGAAGGAAAGCAAATGTGAACCTTGCCATTCTAGGAGCAAAACCCAGAGGAAATCTAGCACCAGGTTAGTAAGGAATTAAGAACTGAGTTTTAGAAGTAAATAAGGGGCTTATTGTGACCAAATTTCATTGCTCATTGCTCACTATTAACCATTATTGTACTGCAGTTTAAAACTGGTACCAGAAATTATGGTAAACATCGGGGTGATTATTATATTTGATCAATACGTTGTCGTCCTGCCAAGTGCGAATTAGACTCGCTCATGTAGGGTTCCGTACAGGAAACGAGCACAAAAATCACTTTTGTTGTATGGTTTTTAGAATTTGTTGTTGAAAATATATCTGTGAAAATTACAACTGTCTAACTTTTACGGTTCATGAGATTCAGCCTGGTGACAGACAGATAGACAGCAAAGTCTTAGTAATACCCAAAAGATAAAACGGGATCTTTTGGGTGATGAAAACATGATCACAAATTACTTATACTTGTTTTTGATTAGGTTTAGGACAATAAAATATTTTCGATAATACCGTCATGTATTCGTGTATCTTATAGCCATTTTAATGGGATTTTTATGATGTAACGTAGACATTACTCCTAGTTAAATAATCGTGTTAAAAGTTTATGTGTTAACCAGATTGCTTTTCATTAAAATTATTATTTTTAGACAAATGCCGGCCATAATCCAACTGGCAGTCATGTAGGTCTACGTTAATATAATAGGTTTTATAGAGTATTTGTTATCGTAAGAAGCAGAATTTTTATATATAAAAAAAAATTTGATCTATTTACTGCCGCTCCACTGTCACATATGGTCTCAGAATTGACCCCCCGTAGCAGTGAATGTACACACGCGGTGTTTTTCAATTTTTTGCTCTCGACTTATGTCAGTAAGTTGGCTCGTCTATACAGTACTGCTTTATAAATATATAGTCCGACAGCGTCGCATAAAAAACGCTCCTTTTACAAACAGCTGAGTGATAATGGTCTAAGAATTTAGTTCGGTATGAAATCATAAATCCGGATACTAATAAATTTGTTAAATTATAGAATTGAATGGATGATATAATTATTTCTCGTTACGTCAGTTTAAAAGTAAATTAACACAAGTGTTTTACGTATTTACTTTGGGTAAAGTACGAAATATTTTCCATTGGTTTTTCCACTGTTTATTACACAGTAACTGCTGCTTTTAATTTATATGGATAAAATTATATATCTATTACTCTTATAGAATGTCGAAAATTCTATAAATTCAGCTCATTTTCTTATCTATACAAATGAGTATGTAATTATAAAGTTAGTACCCCATTTTGAGAATATTTAAACGCCGTTGTTCCCATTATTAGAAAAACGGATATAATCTTGTGTATATTGATAACAGTGCTTTTGGTGAAAGCTTATTAAACAAACATCTAACACCGATCTTATCTCGCGTGACAAAGATTTACTGAAGCAGGTAAGCTATGCCCTTTGCAATGTAAACAATTAAGAAATGTTACCCTTTAGTGTATTTCGTTCCCTTTCATTCAATTTGCTTGGAAGTGACTCGGCAATTTACATTGCGTATTCTTACACATACGAAATAGGGAATTGGGTTATCAATAAGTAATCAATTGGTTAAATGGAGTGGAGAGAAATGTAAGTAAGTTTTATAGGAATTTGATAACCTTTTTAAAGTACTTTGTTTTTAGAAGCCCAAATTAAAAAAAAAAATGATATGAATGCTTTTTATTAGCAATCTAAAGACACCGGTCAAAGGTTTTTTGGTGTGTTTCGTTTTAACTCGCTGTCCGGTTTTAATTGAAATTAGATGTAGAGATACTTTGAAGTTGGAGGAAGGAGGATGGATATTTTAATTTATCAAAATCCAAAATATTACAATTTAATCACGCTTAAGAACATTTTTATAGAAGTTAGTATCGTATTACCACTTTTTAAAACATTTTATGTAACAAAGTAAATGAAAATTAATACAAAAAATTGATACCTATTCGCGATGTTATTAATTAAATAGTTCACAAACACATCGAAATCCTGAAATGATGCCGTTATCAGCACTCGATTAGTTGACGATAGGATATGATAATAAAACGTACCCAGATAATAATATTAACTGCCAGTTATCTTCTAGTACTTGTGTGTAAATCAAATTGAGTGACCAATAAGTTTCTATATTTGGCAATGACAATGTGCCAAATCCCCAAGCACTCACGCAATGTGCCCACTGCTGTGCACACGCCAAGGTGGAATATAATAGGGGATCCACTACCCCGACCCATAGATGGTTACTTACGACTGCAGATACAGCCGGTACCAACGAATTTACATGCCTTCCGAAGGACGGAGCCTCCGTGCTCAGAAAACTTTGATTAAAATAACTTATTAGTGTTATGTTAATAAATGTATTAGAGGGCTTAGTAAGATATTAGTATGGGTTTCCATAGCGTTTCTAGCGCTGTAAGTATAAAGAACTACAAATCTCCACGCAAATTCTAAACTCACTCACTGGTGAAAGCGTTAACATATAACTTCCTCAAAACTTAGATATGTATATGAACTATGAACAGCGGGTTCAAATGCGTGGTTTACATGAAAACTTGACAGTACATTTATCCCTAGGGAACTGTTTAGTGGTATAAAAATTATAAATTAGCCTGTAAGTTAATTCAGGCTTATAATTATCCATATATCGAATTTCGTCCAAATCCTTTCAGTAGTTTTTGCTTGAAATTATAAGAAACATATTCCTCATATACTTTCGTATTTATAATATTAATAATATGAAAAGTCTACACATTATCAGAAACAATAGAAAATATTATGATAATGAATCTCGTTAGGTGTCAGTTTCGCCTTCGTTGATTTCTCGCATACGACGAATGGACGGTTTGTTGATCGCCTAATGGCCTACGTCAGTATTGTGAGCTCGGCGCAGTTTTTATACCTCAATAAAACAAATTTAAATGAACGTACGTGGGTACAAACTGACGTGTTTCGCGCTGTGATTAGAACACTACAGAACGTTTTTATTATCAAACTAGTAGAGTTTCTAGGACAAAATAAAAGCGTATGTGATCAAATTCGAATGACACAGAACTTAGAGACAAATTTGTGTGGAAAATATATAAATTACAGATTTATTCAAAACAGTAAAGTGTATACTAAACAAAATGACACATTTAGTACAATAACAATCTAATCAAATCTTTTTTGATGCTCATTAGCTGTTCTCAATATTTTCGATCATCTCTTATTTACTGACGTTGCAGACAGTAATTTTAAAATTTCTAAAAATACCAAATATGTTTGTTATTTCAAGTCTCTTATAAGTGAATCGCTGATCAAACGTTTAATAACTAGGCATTTATAATTTTAATGTACCTTATCGAGTCCAGTAAAGTTTTTATGAATCCATTAAACTTAAATTATATATTTTTACTTGCTTACTTAAATTACTCATGTATAATAACAACATAAAGTTAGATTGTTGCATTGTAACAATCGAGCGGCTCCAGAATTGATACCGAACGGAACATGCAAGAACAAGGGCCCGCCCCCGCCGGAAGCGGCTAAACGCTCGGAAACGGAAGTGCTCGGTGGTCGACAGGATCGTTAATTGATTGTTTTCTAAGTGTCGCCAACCCTTACTTGGTATCGCTGGCCACTGGTGATTTGATTCATAAAGATAGAGATATCACAATAAAAAATATATTGTCAGTGAATAAAGGTAGATCATATATACTAAAAATGAAATTATGGAAGACTAGCGGTTTTCCTCTGACTTCGGTCGCGTAAATAATAGCCTGTGACACCCGTGTATGATGTAGTAGTATTAGGTGGTGATAGAATTATAAATCAGTCTTGTAGTTTCGGAGCTTTTGCAAGCAAACATATGATCAAATCTTTCCTATTTATAATATTTGCATACCTACTTACAAAATAATCAAACGTAACTTTTTTGTGCAAGTGAAATAATCCTGAATATCGGTCCACTAGTTTCGGAGCCTATTCAATGCAAATAAACGTACAAACAATCAAATCTTTCATCTTTAGAGATTTATCAGGATAATTAATATTATTATTATAATTCGCATAAATAAATTTTACATTTTTTAGAATATTATAAACAATGATCATAAAACACAGTTTTAACTTAACAAATGTTTAATTATAAAATTTATGCCAGTAGGACTCGTGGTCGGAAGATTTTTGTAACATGTTGCAAGTTCCTTGACTCATTTTTATACTATACAATTCTTCGTCATTTTTTTGTGCGAAACACAAACTTTGAATGGAGCAGCTGATTGCATACATACTGTAAATGTCTGAGACAACCATAGAGATTTATTGGGCCAGAGTACCACATCCTCTTTCTCGCTCGGTTTACTGTGGAGGTCGCATTTATTGTTCCAAAATGCGCACGGTCAGTTTTGCTAACGTTTACTAGCAAATTTAGATCTTATGTTCACCATTAACAATTCGAATTTAGACTTTAAAAAGAGACGTTACGGTGTAGTGTTGTATGAATGAGGAACATTTGCGAGTGTTTGTGGGGGTCGGACTCGTTGAGTACAATGGGTGCGTGCGCGCATGACGGGCACCTGGTGGTGGCGTACCGGCCGCGCCATATGCCTAACACCCAGCCACATTTCGCTTACCCACGACCCGTGGCAACCCCAACGCAGTGCGTTACCAATTTCTAATTATGCGTATTACAACAAAGGATATGTAATTTGTGGACACATCCTCTTCTATAGAGACTGTTTTTTTTTACATATATATTATTTATTTATGGCATAAAAAAGGAAAGGAACTTTTTGCCTTTATTTAAATAAATCGTAGCAAATGTCTAGTTAGTCGCGTGAAAGTCTGAATGAGTCAGTTCGAAATTTGTTACGAAAATCGTTTTATAAGATGATCAAATGAAGCGTAACAAAACATTTGGATGAAACCGTACCATACGTATTGAAAATAATGATTTAAAATATTATTACATAAACGCCATTTTAGGATTTAAAGGGGAAGTGGTTGACAATATTTATATCTTTTTTCTTACAAGAGTGAATGTCCGAGAAAACACGCAAAGTAAAGATTATGTCTACTTGAAAAATGTGCATGAATAACCGCGCTTAGAATACCTACAAAACAAACATTATAAAAACTGGTCTTGAAAAACAAAAATTAATAAGAAAAGATTTTTCATTCATTATTTCTTATATTTTGTAGAATCAACTTTGACTTAATGATGTCGGTATATCTGCAATCTTTCATCCAAGTGTTTTGTTACCGGAAGTGATCAACATTAAAATCTAATAAGATATATGTAAGTTTTATTTTCCTTTATTAATAGCTGTAATAATAGACAAAACAAATGACTGCTCTAAAATCTGAATCACGCTTGATACAATTGTCCGTATATTACATACAATCATCATTGCTATTCAAAGTTAAGCTATTATACGAATATATTTTTATTATAACAAAATTTCATTTTAGGAACAATTTGTTTTCTACAAGAGTCTACATAAATATCTTGTACTAAGCATTCTAATAGTTTACGTTAATATTTATTTGAGTTAAACGTATTCAACACAACCGCTTAGTCAGATTTTAATGGAGGTATACTAAAGAGGCGAAACGCTTCTAGTCAATCATCGCTGCAAACATTTGTTTCGGCAGAACGTAACATGTTTTATTGTTGGATCGCATTAAGACCAAAACCCTGTTTAGTCTACGCATGTCTCGCAAGAAAGTTAACGTGCTCCGATGCATTTGTTTGCGGATCCTTTTGTAAATACGTGGGTGCACAATTTTTTTGATGATTCAATAAAAAGTAGCTCATTTATATGCAGAGAAACAGTAATATTTTTTGAAATCATCATTATTTGCGTAGGGTTATGTTGAAAGTTGTACTAATCTCTTTTATAACTCGTTCACTTTACACGGGTGGCTCGAAATAGCCGTTATCTAGGCCGGTTTGACATTTTGTCAATTCAATGCAACGTACTTTACCGTTATTTCGTGTAGGGGCCGGGATTACTGAGATGCGTTTGCGCACCCGGCCTCTATACCTGCGGCCTGCTCTAAATCGCTTCGACAATAGACCTCCTTTTACAATTGCAAATAAGCTTCACGAACAAGGACACAAACGACAAGAATTAATTGAATAATTATGCAAGAGTTTTAGCTGTATTCGAATGGTGATTATTCAATCTATTGAAACAAAAATTGTAAAGAAAAAAGAAAAGTCCTGCATAATGCCTTTTTTGTACTTTTTGTTTATTACAAAAATTTATTTAAAGTATTTTCTCTATATGGTATTTGTTAACTATCAAATCGTTTGGTTTTACTGAATTGTATAGGACCTGTGTTGATGCTATCGTAACGGTAGATCTTTCTTCAGCGGCCGCGCATCAACGTGCGCCAATATAAATAAACTTCGTCGGCATAAAGTAATAAGTATATCCGCTTTTAAACGAGTTTTAATAGAAAATATTTTCTCTGTTGTATTGATTTTGAGTAGTGTTTTATGAAAAGTGAATATTTAATAGTATTTTCGGTGTTTTAATTGTTCCACGTGTACGTACAATTTCGCAGGATTTAGATAAGTTAAAAAGCTCTCGAATATTGATTAATAATTACCGTACTTGCTTTTTTATTATGAAATATATTTAATTAAAAAAATATATATTTGCATATTAATAAATATTTGTAAAAAGTGTCTTGTCGTAATGAAATCGTTTGATTTCAACACTTAAAACATTCTATACTAGGGAATTAAATGTAGACTACAATTTTATATCATTAAGAACATGTAAATACGGCGTTTATTCAAATTACACTGTGTCTATATTGTAGACTCCTGTTTGATTAGGTGCTGTGTTATTGAATGGGTGTACTTTAATTTTGCTTTTGTTGAGCTGCTGTTTACGTATATTCGCTTTAACTGCCGCGTTACGAATTATTTGTAGGCCAGTTTCTAAATACGTCGTCGTGGCGGTTGTCGGGGGCGATTTGAGCCGCTGGTGTCGATTATGAAAACATTGTTAAAGTTTTATTATATGGGAGTGTTGATGAAGGCCGAAACAGCCACTTGTCCAAACACGGTGTGACGATGAATTATTGAGTAGTGAGCGAGCACGATAATCGATTCACGCCTGCCAGCGGTATGACCGAAAAACTTTTGCTCATTATTTTCCATTTTGTCATCCTCTTTTAGAACATTAATAGGTCGATGTAGTCTATAACTTCATCAGAAACTAATCAAGCATTACTTCCAACAATATTACTGGAAACTTCATTTCCATATGATTTGAAAGCCATCATTAAGATTGGACATGATAAAAGCTATGTTGTCCATTTGGGTATTTGAATGATGATGTGATGGATGGCTAGTATAGAGGAAGAACCACCATTGATTAACAGACAGAACCAATAGGGTTGCCTGTACCCTTGTTCCATGTATGACATTGCAGCTCGCGTGCGTTGTTGCCCTTCGCGGTATTACTTATGCATGTGGTTCGGCCCTGCACTGTCGGCTGGCTATCATTCTATTTTATTATGAGAATAAACTAGAATTTGACCTACATTTGACAACTCAATATAAATATAATCTATGTTCACAGTTGTTATATTCTAAAACTATTATTACATACATTTAACTAGTATCTACAATGATTCCAATAATTCTCTTACGCATTATGACTGTATGCTATTTAGTTTACTGTTTTAATTTGGCGCTACGCCATTCGTCATATTAATTAGGAGAATAAGATTGTTTTTTTTTTTATTTTAGTAAACTGCGTATTACTTGCATCATGTTTCGGAGCGATAATTTTGCGAGACATCCAAAAATTGCTTTAAGATAAATTATCAATAAAGCTTTTTTTCTGTTGTACGCCTCACAGGGCACCTTTCTATTCATTGGCGAGGGTTGCGACCATGCGGCGTTTTACTATTGAGCGTGGATGGATTGTGGATCTTATGTGTAGGGGTTCTGCGATCCCCTGCTAGTATTTTTATTCGAACATTAGGATTTAGGCGTTGTATGCACTGATGAACGCGTGCCCTTTCGCGATCGATATTGTAACTACATATCTCACTATTTAAGAGGGTTTTAAAACTGTGTCTTAAAGTTCATTTAATATGACAATTTAACAGGACGCTTAGACCAAATCTCTTATTTAAAAATGATTGTCAATGAAGAAACAAAGTCCATGTTTTATTTGATTTATTCAATGTTTAACTTATTTCTTATGGAAATCTTTATTTATATTGTGAAAGTTTATGAACGTATGTGTCATTGTGCATCTGAGGTGGATATAAAGAGATTTGGAATGGTAATTTAAACTATGGTTCTAATGTGAACTATCATGAAAGCTTAAAACAATATATATAATAATTTTAATGGTTTGAAAACAGTTATGAAAAAGAAAATATTTTGAGACTACATTTTAATATATGTCAGTTGCATCTATTTGTCTTATTGACTGACCCACTCGTTTAGTTTCTGTTAACGTTTATTTTAAATCGCTTAGTTTTTTGTTGTAAACAAAATAAATGCAAATAAAAATGATGGTCGATTTGTAATAGTTTTATTTCGTTATTATCTGGCAATCAAATATATATAAAAGTTTCACACACTAGTTTTTTTGTTTTGACAATGACGGTCGTCTTTGCATTACCGTATTTATAGTATTCCCACCAATCATATTAGCGGAGATTCTCATACGTCCAATTACGTTATTGATAATCTTGTGTTAGAAAGAGATTTTCCCACATCGATATTCTTTTTGCTATTATTAAATATTATGAAACTTTTATACCGTGTACTTGAATTTACTTTCAGTTCCGTAAAAGTATATTAATCCAAAGGGTCGAGATTGGCTTAAAAAGTAGCTTTTAATGAAAACACTAGTTGTTCTCCTGCGACTTAATGATAGCCTTGTAGCCAGTATTCATGATCGGATTAGTATTTCCGAAGATTCCCACTACAAACAAATAGACAAAGTTGGAAACTTTAGCTCTTTATAATAATGGTGTACTGTTTGTGTTTTCACCAAATCGGAAGATCAGCGTCGATCACAAAACCAGCATATGCTGAGCTAGAACCGTTTTGAAACAAAATATTCCTTCTAAATGTTTAAGGCTATATTTATACTTATATTTTCTTTGTCCCTAATAATTGGATATATATTTTTTTAATTCTAATGTCATTTGACATGTATTTGCGAGGTGTAAAGAAAATTCATTTTGTTCTTTTCCCTCAGTTCGCATTGAGCTTTGTTCAGGCTCTACGTTGCATTAACCACTAAAAATACTGTCAATTAAAACGTAAAATTCATTAAACCAAAGTGGGCACACATTTGATTTTGTGTTATTCTGATTGCCATTCAAAAGTATGGCTGATCGATAACATAGCGCATTGTGTATAATTGTATGAGGCGAAGCCATAATGGCGGGTTTGCAGCAAATGACCTCGTGATGTTATCAAACTTGTGATACATCTTTATTCTATTAGTGACCAGCTAAATCATGGTATTTAACCTAACAGGCATCAATGTGAAGTCAAAATTAGTAAGATAATGACTTTATAGAGTTGGTTAGAGTACTGAGTACTCTTACAAGACACCTGAAGGCATATTCTAATTTTGTTAAAACCTTACGTCATTTTCGAAATGCCAATACAACTCCAAAGAAACACAATTTTCGATAATTTATGATATGAAGGAGGCAGGACCTAACATTGCTTCTAATGTTACGATAATTTTCACACATATGATTTTAACAAAATTTTAAGATGATTCAAAGTTTTCTAAATTTTCGATCAAAGGAAAATAGAATCGGTCTTCAGGTGTTATAATTATTCGTAGACATAAAAATGGTGTTTTAATATATAAACTTTTTATTACTAAATAGATAAATGAATATACCTTAAAAGTTTGATTCAAAAGAATACTTGTAGCAACTTTCATTCAATAAAATTACTTCGTGGTTCTTTATTAGTACAAATTAATCAATGTTGGTATCTGAGAATTTTAACTCACATTGCTTTCCTTAAGAAATTTTTGTCTAATTTCGTGATCAGTCGAATATAAGAAAATAAGTTATCGGACTGATTATTAAAGATACTTAAAATAATATAGATACTTAAAATAATTATAATCATTAACTTTAAGTGAATAGGTTTATATTAAATTATGCTTTCTCATTTTCATAATGAAATTTTATAAATTTATTGATTTATACCCATCGAAATACAAAACACAAATCCAATAATGGTATTTTTACATATACCAAGCCATTGGTTAACTTAACACTAAATAATTTAAGCACTTTCATATTTCATTATTTAAAACGCAAACAAATCATTAAGATTTTTTTCTTATAATAGCAACAAGAGATTTCATATTTTTGAATTATTTTTTTTTAATTTAAGAATAGAAAATTGTCGTGTAAATGATCCTAGAACAATATCCAAAGCGTCGTCGCCACAGGAACACTTGAGTGTAGTAGTTCCGCTCCCTTTGTCACGTCGCTCGGTAACACGATACCCGGCGCGACTTCCGTGAAGCCCTGGTGCTCCTCCGTAATCCTCCAACGACGTACTGCTGCTAAACGGCCCTATACCCCACAAATACAATTATTTCTAACTATTAGATAAGTAACATATTCGCAACTGCGGTTGTTGTCTACATAGATGATATGACAGTATTTTCATTGGAATTCAGATTGAAAATAATAAAAGAATATAATCTTTCTTTCAACTATTTCCTTGATATGCACGAAACTTTCTTCATATCTTAATTATTATTTATGTATAACAGCTGGCATTCAGAGGCTGGCCGCACAGAGTCCGTCCGGCGAACGGCGTGGTTATTTATAAAACAGAGTTGCGTCTCGTTTTGTCTTCGGCGCGCTCTTTATTTTGTCTAAATATACGCAGTTTTGGGAACGTCGTCGCGGCCGCCTCTGCCGCGACATCAGAATCTGGCTCGGTTCCAAAATCTCATCTTTTCTCGCCAGCTTATCTTTTGTCGGAGCGCATAACGCACACTAACAAGTACCTATTACAATATTCGCATTGAAGTTTTATTCGCACTAAAAGCAATAAAGATGTATTTTGGAATGTCATAAACACAGAATAGAATCAAAATTCAAGATAATATTA